TTATCATAATTATTTAAAAATTAAAATATAATATTTTAAATTAATAATCAATTAATAAAATTATTTTTTTGTTATAATACAAATTATTTATCATAAATCTAAAATATAATTTATATATTTAAAAATATTTATGTATAATAACTATAATGTTGAGCTTCTTGTCGAAGTTCTTGAGTTTTCTTCCCCTTCTCTTCTTAGTTGCACAAGCTATTTAGCGAAAGGAGAGTTTGCAACTAGAAGCTTGGTGGGAGAGCTTAAAACCTTGGAAGATTGCAATTGTGGTGCGGTGTAGAGTTGGTGGAGGTCGGAAGCTCGAAGCCTCCTTTGTTCTTCTTCCTTTCCCTCTCCTCATTTCAAAGGCTTGGAATCAAGGTAAAAGAAGCTAGACTCGACTCTTGATGAGTTGTATGTGCCTAAAATTATTTTAAATTCTTGGTTGTCCGGCAAAAGTTGAGGAGGGATTTTTGTGTATGTTGAGTTCTTGGCGTTTTGAGCTAATAGGGTGATTTTGGTGAATGATGCAAATTAACTTGCATGTGCTATTTCTTGATGATTTCGAGTCTTATATGGGGTGTGTGAGTTGTTGGATGCAATGCATGTGTTGGATTTTCTGTATTTTAGGTGAATGAGGCAATTTTTGTGATTTGCATTGTGTAAAAATCACAGTCACACTAGGTGTGCTTTCATGACGCCTGCAGACGCAGTTCCAACCAGGAGTCTGTGTCTCGTTCATGTCGAACACAAAATCGGTAGCATCGGGCTTAAGGAGAGAAACTCATCTTGGATTGGGAGAATAGGGTCGAGCATGAAAGCATAGGAAAGTCTCTAATTTAGTGACGCTAGACCCTAAATGGGTGGTGCCAAACGTGATCAAGACAAAGACTCCTTGCCTGAAGGACTTCACGCACCACTAAGATGATGTTGGACGTGCATCAGGTGGAGACTCTTTGCTTCATATGAGGTTGGATGTCAATTTTGCCATGCCAGACTTGAAATCCTAAGGAGTATCCACCTTGGCACGCCAGATGTAGTTTGGATGGTGTTGGGTGTGAGTGATGTAAAAAGTTTCTTGCCTCGATGGTGTTGCAAGCGAGGTATGTTGCATTAGGTGTGGGATGCTTGGATGATGAATGTGTTTTGGAATGTTGTATGATGAACATGAGTAGATATGTGAGTTTTATTGCATATTGTATGAAGTATGAGGATTGTAATTCTATACGTGTTGATTGGACATGACATATGTAAATGTTTGCATGGTATTAGATGATGATGAGCATATGTATGTTGTATGCATGTATATATGTTGTTGTTGATCTCTATATGCAGTGACGGATCCAAAAATTTTAGATAGTGGAGGCAATACTTATTCATATATTTGTAATATTAAAAAATTTATATATAATTTTTAAAAGTATAAATATATTTTATAAATATTTTTTACAAGTTTTTATATTTATAATTACGATTAAGGATGAAAATAAATTATGTTAGACTATATTATATTATAATTTAATATGTTTGAACCTAACTTTCTTTAAAAGATACATGTTCTAAATATGACATATTTATCTATCATAGACATTTTTTAAATATTTGGTTAAAATTATAATTTTAAAGACTTACTTTATAATAATTTAACACTAATAAAAATATAAAAATAAATATGTTAAATTTTATAAAAATCAAGTTTAATTTATTTATGATATAAACATGTTTTTAATATGTGATATAAATTTTTAGATATTAATTTATTTTAAAACATATTTTATAATAAAAATTATAAATAGAACATAAATCTTCCAATTTTTCCAATTTTGATATTTTTAAAATTAACGTATACAATCTTACAATTTTTACTATTTTGATTTTTTTATTAACATATACAATAAATAGAAAGAATTACTATATTACATTATATATGTGAGCATTAATATATATATATTATAATTAAACTTTTTAAAAAAAACTATTTATTATTAAGAAATATTTTTTATCACGTATGAAA